CCTTCGGTAGCACGTGGCATGCTAATTATCCGAGACATTGTTGTTGCTTGTCCTCCATTGACTGCAACTCCATCCATTGTAGCTCGCCTCTGATGGTTACCGCTTGTTGGCCTTTCAACAATTCTATTTTTCTTCTTGTCTTCATCGTTTTTACCAGGTACGGAGCCCATACTGGGTTGTAAAACTGGCTTAGATATTGTGTGACCAACAGACTCAGCATAACAACCATTACCCACTACAATCTTCTCTCTCTTTGAGGGAGCAAACACTTGTACCGAAGGTTTGTTTAGCTCTTTCTCTTTCTCCTTCTCATTCTCATTCTCATTTTCAACTTCATTTGATCCTTTAGAGCAAATGCAGCCCATCCTTACCAATGTAAGTTCTCCGAAATCACACAATCACCCTTTGCAATCCCTTTTCCAATACTTAAAGATGCCCAAATTCATGATATTTAAATCTTGCCACTCTTCTCCAATTCAAACCAGTTATCAACATAACTACATTAATCTCCAATCAACTCTAAATCCTCACAGGATTCAATGGCATTAGTTTTATGAACAAAATATAAACCAGAATCTTCTGACAATGCAAGCCCAAAACTTCAATGAATGGTCACAAACTCCGATTCCTCTCAAAAACCCAAAACTTCAAAAGACAACAGAAGATCTTTTGAGAGGAAGAGGGGGAGAGAGAAAGAGGCCCAAAATGCAAGAATTCAAAATCTTTTGTTACAATCAAGAACAGGGGAAAATTGGAATTCTCTTTAAAAACTAACAATCAATTTACAAGAAAGGAAGTGTCAAATAGCACAATGGCATAACAAACTATGAACAAGATGAAATTTGAAGAAAAATAAAACCAAAAAAAAAAAGAAAAAAAAGAATTATATCAAAACCCAGACCAGAAATCCAGCATTGATATGTGGATATGTGCAGGAGTTCTGGTCGAGGATTCTGGGTTCCAAAAAAACAAAAACAAAAAAAGATTTGTGGGGGTATTATAACTGGGTGTTATTCACAGAAAACCAAAAAAACAAAAAAATGAAGAATTTTAAATTCAGAAAAAAAAAGAAGTAAGAAATAAATCAGAAATTAAATGAAATAGACGAAAAAAAAAAAGAGAAAAGAGTAGGTTAGGGGAAAAATCGAGGGTTTTGAAGATTGTTCATTGATTTGGGAGAGAGAGAGAGAGAGAGAGAGAGAGAATTGCGGGTGAGTTGGGGAAATCCTAGAAATGCGCAAGGCCGAGGATTTTGAGGCAATGTATTTTTCAGTTGGTCGCAATCGTCAAGTGCTTGAAATCTTTTTCTTTTTAAGTACAGCTCCGATAGGGCTGCTTGACCGAGCTCTCTTCTCTCCCTCTCTCTTTCCAATATCATCATCATCATCATCATCATCACGTAGTAAGATCAGATAAACTAGCATCGTGCTAGAAAGATTGGCGAGAGAGACGAAGATGAAGGTGCAAAACGAGTACTGTGGAAGTAGTCGTTACCACTAGGAAGGGAGCGAGACAGAGGCCGACGTGAGGGGAGGCTCTATATACACACCATAAGTTGTCTCAACGCAAACCATTTCTAAACACACACCAAAAATAATTTGAAAAATAAATATTATTCTCATCACACACCACAAATTTATATATTTATCCATACTCACACACCAACCCCAACAATATACACACAAAGTTCCATCTTTGCCCCCACACAGCCACACACCCCACACCCACGATATTTATCTCCCCCTCCATTCTCTATTCAAACTGGCGAACACCATTGCTGAAAACACACGTCGTCTGTTGCTCAACACAGCTGGAACTTCACATTGGAGATTTAGTATGTGAGTTATTATTTATTTTAGGGTTTTATGCACTTATCTCCATTGCTGAAAACACAACATTACTGCATACCACGGATGCTTCGTTTTGGGGGAAAAAAAAAAAAAATTGTAAATGTTCGGCAGTACAGAGTCGAATTAAATGAAATTGCTCGATTTTTGTTAACCGAATATACGAATAAAGTTCAACTGTAGTATGTTGAACACGTTGTTCGACCGTAGTATGTTGAACAAAGGCATTTTGTTCGACGGTAGTATGTTGAACAAAGGCATTTTGTTCGACCGTAATATGTTGAACAAAGACATGTTGTTCGACGGTAATATGTTGAACAAAGCCATTTTGTTCGACCGTAGTATGTTGAACAAAGGCATTTTGTTCGACCGTAGTATGTTGAACAATGATATAATATCCACCTCTGGTTGCCCGAACTGTACCAACTATTTACCACTCAGCAAGTAACGAAAACGAAAACAAAAACAGTAAAAAAATAACATCTTCCTTGCTCCATTGTTGCGAATCAAAGTTGGTAGATGCATCCTTCATTGAATCCATTCAAAATCTTCAATAATACTATATTTTTGATTATTTGTTGAAGAGTTTTTTTGTATTCTTGAAAAAAAATAAGTAAGGAACAAGTTTGAAATTGATGATTTAAATTATATTCATTCTTGTCCTTTATGGTAAATACACAAATGGTGTGTAACATAACTTGTCCTCTATAGTCATTTCACTTAAGGTTAAAATTGTAATAAAAAAAAATTAATTAATGGTTTGCCTTGAGAGAAAAGGTGGTGTGTAAATAGAGCCACCCCGACGTGAGTTGCAGGAGGCTTTTCCCAATATAAGCCATTTTTGTATTGTATTTCCAAAACCAGGTCAACTTTTGACGGAATTCCAAAACTAAGTTAAAGTGTCATTACTATTCGCGCTTTTACTGTTAGGAGCGCAAAAGTAGATGAACATGAAAATCGCTATTACAAATAGCGACTTTGATTAATAAGTCGCTGTTACGAATAGCGCTTATAGTGTTATTCTTTTTCTCAATAAAAAACGCTGTTCTTAACGGCGCTTTTCACACAAAATTTTGTTGCCCAAAAAAACGCTATTGATAATAGCGATTTTAACAAAAAAAAATTTGCCAAAAAAACGCTATTTATAATAGCGATTTTAACAAAAAAAATTTTGCAGAAAAAACGCTATTCATAATAGCGATTTCAGTTCAAATTTTGTTCCAAAAAAAGGCTATTTCTAATAGCGATTTTAACAGAAATTTTTTTCCCACCCAGCGTTTTTAACATAAACTTTGTTGGAATAAAACGCTATTTTCAAGAAAAGTGTAATTATCATATAATAATTTTGTATGATATATATTATATTATAAAATAGTAAAATAAATACTCATTTTGATATTAAAAATAATTTTCTTTTATATTCATTTGGAAAATAAAAATATGTAGAAATAGAAATTATATAAAATTTATTAAAAAAAATTAGATAGATATATGTTATAGTTGGATTATCATATAATAATTTTATATGATATATATATATATATTAAATTACAAATTGTAAAATAACCACTTTTAATTAAGTTAAAATATCAATTATATAAAAAGAAATTCAATAATGACTAATCAAGAAAGAATCACATAATAATATCTAAACCCAAAAAGAAAAAATAATGAAAACATCTAAACGATAGATACATCTCAGTGTGTGAAATGATTAATCATCTGTAATATGATGTTAAAACATAAAAAAACTTATTGTTCAACAATTAAAAAAGTAACTCAAGCAGTAAATTCAAACTTTATAAGTTTTCTGAGAGTATTATTGTTGTGCAAATTTTTCCTTATGTGAGTTGTGATTATATAAAATAATATAAGAAATGAAGTATAATTTCATATATAGAATTACTATAAAATTTAAACAACAAATTCATAATATAGAATTGATATTGATTATAGAATAATACACAGAAAATTTTTTTAAAAAAAATCTGAATAGCCTTGAAAAAATTAAGAAGAAAAATGTGAGACGTAAAATTGGTCTTGGGTTTGTGGATTATCTCAATTTATTATGAAAAATATTGAAAAATAAATATTTGTCAAATAGAGTCCATATAAAATAGGTAAAATTAGTATAATTTAAATTATGTTTAAGTTTGTATAGAACTCTATATATAATTAAGAAAATACATACTGACGTAACTCTCTTAGAAAAAAGTAAGCCTTTATAATATGTCACCTAAGCATGAAAAAAACATTACTTTTAATAATATATATATATATATGTAAAAATAAGTTATAAATTTATCATTTTCGATAATAGTTCAATATTGGTTGGCGATGAGACAAAAATAATCCATTTGGTACTAGTTTTCTTAATCAAATGGGTTTATTTGGTTTTGTACTTCCGGAATTTTTATATTCGTTCGATTTTGTACTTTCAAATAAATTTCGACAATTAAAAACCGAATTAATTTATATTTTTCGTAAGTTAATTTCAAAAATTATGAAATTATCTCAGCAGTTGATTTCCGAACATAATGAAAATTTTCAGCACTAGGTTGTCAAATGAGAATCGCAAACAGGAAAATAATAATAATAATTTTTTCACATAAAACTCACATTTTCATTGTTGTAATAGTTGTAATGGAGGACAATAGAGTGTAAAAATGGAAGAAGAAAGAAACAATGGAAGAACAATATAGGTTTTAATTTTTTGTTTTTCCAAAAGATGTGCATTGAATTTTGCTTTCAAAAAATATGTATAGAAAAAACTTAGTTTTAATATTTAGCGTGTATAGTGTTGTCCATTATGATCATTTTATTTTAAGATAAAATTGCAATGAAAATTTCATTAAGTTATCTGAAAATAGAATTTCCCCTCAACTATCAATCCATCCATCTCCTTAAATAACATTGGCCAAGAGGTGACTATGAATATGAATATGTTGGGGTTGAAATTATAACCCAACCCAACCCAAAAAAGGGAATATGTATATTATATATTTTAAAATGTTAAAAATAAAATAATAATAATAATAAGATACAAATAATAAGTGCAGCATTCCATTCGTCAGAAGAAGAAGAAGAAGAGCAATGTTATGATCAACATGCAGAAGAGTCCAAAGAAGTGCAACATTCGTCACAAGATGAGAGCCTCTTCTGCAGTCCAACACGTGTACACAGCTGCCTCTGCATGGAGTGACTCTGCTGTTCATCTTCTAGCACTAAATGTCAAACCCCCTCCTTTCCTCCGCCATATCTATGATTTAATTATTCTTTCTTCTTCTTCTTCTTCTTCAATTCTTATCTCGAAACAACTCCAAACCCAAACCCTGTTTCTCTCTGTCTGTGTCTCTCTCAGCTTGAAGAATTTGCAGATTAAGAATGGATTTGATAAACTCAGTGATGAATTTGGTGGTACCACCAGCAAGCTGGGTGATGTTAGCAGTTGCATGGCCAGCCTTGACTTTCATCAACGCTTGTGAGTGGGCTTACAACACCTTCTTCCCTGAAGATATGGAAGATAAAGTCGTTATCATCACTGGTGCTGCTTCTGCCATTGGCGAGGTCTTTCTCTTTTCTCTTTTCTTTTCTTTTCTTTAATTAACCTCTTTTTCTTTTTCTTTTTCTTCTCTCTATTGTTATGTTTACTTTTATTTATTTATTTTATATAAAATTTCAATATATAGACTACCTTAAGTAGTAGTGGAAGGGACCATTCCCATCTCAATTTTAATGAGGGTTGGTGGGAGTTTTCAGTTTTAGATTACAGTTAGAATTCAATTGTGAACAAATTGATTGCCCAAATAGGATTTTCGATTCCAGATATAACTCTGAAAAAAAGTTCAAGACTAGTTGTTGGAAGTGGCTATCTTTCAGTACCTGTTTCCATGGCATAATAAATAATAATTATTATTATTATTATTATTATTTTGTCAATAGAATTTTTACAAATATGAGGATTATTACATTAATTGAACAACTAATCATACAAGAAGTTCTAATAAGACAAACCGACCAATCATCATTACAAAAAAGGGCTCAGGAAGAAATAACAGCTAAACAAGTAAATAATCAATCATTACCTTTGACAAGTTGGAGAAGCTCGAGTAGTACAAGAGTGACCAACTGAGCCATTAGCTGGCACGAAAAATAAGAAAAATTCTGAAATGTTAAAAATAGTGAATTATGTGCTCAATCATCTTACCCAGAGAGAGAGGGAGAGAGAGAGAGAGAGATTCTAAATTAAAAAGAAAAAGGGATTAAAAAAGAGCTTCCTAGTTAATTAAGTGCTTCATCATCTTACCATTGCTTATTTTCATTGCCTGGTATGGATCAAGATCTGAGGGTTTGTCTCCAACATTCAACCTCAAATTCTGGCAGAAAGTAGCTACCATTACACTGCTTCATATAGATACATAGATAGATACATGGAATGATTTAAATTATTTTAACTACTATGAACCAATAAATTCAAATTGAATGAACGGTCACTTTGTCAGTAACCAAGGCAGAACAGTTGAGTGACTCAAGTGCCATCTTCCCTCATATTGAAAGTTGAGGGTTTATTGGGCTAATGAGCCACCCTAATACAACTTTAATGGATTTAACTAGTCTAACAAGAATGGAAATGACTTATAAGAAACTTCACACCCATAACAATCACAGCAACAGCACTTGCACATCTTAGGTGACCAGAATCATAACCTAATCGCTGAGAATGCAGCACAAATAATGATTCAAAATTGTTATGCACACTCATGTACCTTCACTCATGTTAGCATCACTCGATCACCTGCAAATTGCATGCAATTTTATAATGATTATGTTATAAAATGCCCCCCCCCCCTCCCTTTTTTTTGTGTGATATCAGCAAATTGCATATGAATATGCGAAGAAGAGAACCAATCTTGTATTGGTAGCTCGGAGAGAGCATAGGCTGAGAGGGATCGGAGAGAATGCAAGACAGATGGGTGCGAAGCATGTCATGATAATGGCTGCGGATGTTGTCAAGGAAGATGAATGTAGGAGATTTGTCAACGAGACCATCAACTTCTACGGCCGTCGTAAGTCTCAGTGCTGGCCCTATTTAGTTTATTGTGTTTTTAATTACAATGCTTTATTATTAATACACATCCAAGATATTAAACCCAAAAAAAAATTTACTTGCTTGCAAGTGTGCTTGAAATTGTTTATGATCAGTCATATGGGACAGAGGGCAATTGCAACAAATCTTTCCTCTGCATTTTAGTTAATGAAATAAGATCCCAGAGATATCTAGCAATAGATTTCACATTATTTATTTCCTAACAATAAAACACATACACACAAAAACACAACCATGCACACAAAAAACATAGAAGGGAAAAAGAAAAAAAAAAGAAAAGGAAACTCACAATTCAGCAGGGTAGTTTGAGCTTTTCTGACCCATTATACTTGGTTTGATGGATGCACTTGGGCATAGAATTTTACAATATAGTCCATTACTCAATGCTATATTTAGTACCAGCAATATTTTCTCCAACCAAGTGAACCAAATAAATATATTTCATATATTTTCCGTTTTCTTTATTTGTTATTGTTACTATTACATATTGCATATTTACTTTAAATTCTGCAGTGGATCATCTGGTAAATACAGCAAGTTTAGGACATATGTTCTACTTCGAGGAAGCTCCAGACTCATCTGTGTTTCCCATTTTGATGGTAACTATTGATATTAGCATATTAAATTTCACGAACTCTAAGCAATTTCCTAGAGTTGCCTTCATTGTTCCAATTTAGTTGCTTTTGAAGCATTTGTTGATCATTAAAAAGTTCAGATTATGTGCACCTTTATGTTAATTGGTTACTAAGAGGCTTTGAATTTATTTTATTTTATTTTATTTCAAAATTTCAGGACATAAACTTTTGGGGAAATGTTTATCCTACGTATGTTGCTCTGCCTTACCTACAACAATACCATGGCCGAATTGTAGTTAATGCTTCAGTGGAGAACTGGCTACCCTTGCCAAGAATGAGCTTGTTTTCTGTGAGTAAATGCAAATGATATAATACGCTATGATTGAACACCCCTGCAGAATTGAATTCAAAATATTCTTAAATATTTAAAATAATAAAGGAAATTTGAGTAAGTTGATTTTGCTTTCATTTTCATAAGGAAACAGAAAGTAACATATCACATATGAACAAAAAAAAAAAATTGATGCATATCAAAGTGTCTTCATTTAAAACTTCCCCATACAGGCATTCCTAATTAGAATGAGAGAATTTGCCACAACACTAGGTTTGATCTTGTCTCTTGCATTTTACATTTTTCACATTTCTTTGAGGCTACAACAGAACTATGGTAAGCTGTTGAACGCCAATAAGGACATGCCATGTGGAACCATTATTAATTGATTATGAAGGGTACATGCAATATTATGTAGTGGATGCTTCTTGGGTTCTGTTGGTTTAGTTTTTGCTAGTTAGTTCAACCTTTTTCCTAATTCATCACAACTAATTTTAATTAAGCCTTTAACAATTTGTGTACACGAAAGTTATTTTCAATGGGTCAATTCTCTTACTCAAGTGCAAGGTTGAGTGAGTTTTAATACCTCACAATTTGATCTTTACGTCAAATCTTTGTCTAGTGGATTTGTTTGTTTAATTTTTGGTTCTACCACTTGAATCTTTAAAGTTCAATTCTATAGATGATGTGCTGCTTTGATAAATATTGAGTAAAAAGCTCTATGCATACACATTTCACACTTCTTACTCAATTAAAACATATGTTCACTCAACATGTGTACAATAAAACAATCACCGACATTCATGTACATTCAAGTTCTATTTTTACTCACTCAAAACTTAATACATGAATTTGCATATTCTTGAATTAGACACCATTCATCTAAAACACACACGCACACACACAAGTATATATATATATATGTATCTGAAATTAAGTGTGCAAGCATAAAGAGATGAACACAAATAATTTTTATAGTGATTCAGCTACTTGTTTGAATTCACTAATGGCCTCCTTTGCCAGATTTCAATCCACCAAGTCAAATTCAGTTTTCAATGGTTCACCCAAAACTTTACAACACTTCAAGGGTTTTCAATAGGACATACACAAACACAACAAAAGGATATTCAATATTTTTGTTTTTCATTGTTTTTACTCTTTTCCTTGGAATTGATCTCAAATATTCTTTGTAGCTTTGCATTGGCATATAAAATTAAAATATGAAAATCCTTGCAAGAATAGTTCTTACCTATTTTGTATTTCCTTCGGTGGTTGTCTTGAACCCATTAGAGCAATTTTTTCTAGACATTTCACCTAAAAGTTCCTTTTGTTTTGCTCAACTAGGCAGCGAAGGCAGCTCTAATAAATTTTTACGAGACACTGAGGTTTGAACTTAGAGATGATGTTGGAATAACAGTTGCAACCCATGGTTGGATTGCGACTGAAATTAATAGAGGCAAATTTATGGTGGAGGAGGGTGCAGATATGCAGTGGAAGGAAGAAAGAGAAGTAAGTTTCTTGTCCAACAGCTCTGCTTGTCAATTATTAGATACTTCTGTGTTATCTAGATAATTTTTTTCCTGTGAAACAAATGTTAATTTGTACTCTTATAAACTAATTACTCACTAGAAATATGTTTCAGAAAGAGTTGACTAGTACAAATTAAGCATGGATGAGTTGATAAAATTTTAATACATGCACGTGCTCATGCCTACAAACCAATAAAAATACAAAGAACGCACGGTTCTTCTTTTTCTTTTCTTTTTTTTTAAAGTTTGACCAAGATAAAGGATTTTCTCATTGGAATTTATTCTTCCTAGCAAGTCATAACCCAATAGATGGCTCACAATTGTGAGTTGGCCCATAAAAAATTTAATGATGCTTGTCATTATGCAACAAAAATGGTCTGTATCATTATCCCAACTTTATAAAAGGAGTTATTGAGGCTCACTTCGAGGTGAGGCTAAGGCAAAACACATCGATACTTTTGATTTTTAGGCGACACTCTCCAAAGGCTTGTGCATTATAGCTTGAAGTGTGTGTCTCAAGCGAGCCTTGTACACTTTTTGTGCATAAGCATATGAGGGGTTTGTTGTTAAGTCTCATACATGATTTAAGCATAAAAAAGAACCAAGGAAATAATCTGTTTTGTAACTATATTTCATGAGAAAAATCAAATAAAATACCAACCAAGAAAAAATATGAGTATTGAGGGCGGGTGCACGTCCAAGCATTAGATCTTCATAAACCCAACTCTTAGGATATTGGGATATATATTCAAAAGTTGGACATGGTTATGGCGATGCATCATAGACACTTATATACCTTTCATATTGTATAATATTCTTAGATAAGATATAAATTATGTACAAATGTACTTAAAATTAAATAGAATTTAGGAAAAATAAGCAATTTGTCTCTCATCCATGGGAGAGGCTGGAAACTTTCTTTACTACCAAATGTGGGTTTCTTCTTCTTCTTCTTCTTCTTTTTCTTCTTCTTCTTCTTCTTCTTCTTCTTCTTCTTCTTCAAACATTATAAAAAATTAAAGTACCCAACTGTCTAAATTAGGTACAGCATGGGTGTCGAGCAGATATCACATACCCTTATGCATGTTATATCTTGCGGACATGAGAATAACGATTTCACCTTCGATGAGAGTATTCTCCATTCTCTGTGGTAAATGTTTTCAATTTTTAATCTTTCTTATATAAAATACCTTGCAAAACGTATTCACCTTTAAATACTTTGATCACTATGGCTTGTCATCCAACTTTAAAAATTATATTTATCCAATTATGAAGACAATTAAATGTAAAAAAATTATTTTAAAAAAAAATCTAATTTTAATGTGTTCTTTTCTTTTTGGGAATTAAGGTAAATGCATCTGGTGGTTCTGTGGAGAAGTTTGCGAGGTTGATAGTATCAGGTGCCTGCAGAGGAGATGCTTACGTGAATTTCCCAAATTGGTATGACATATTCCTTCTTTACAGGGTATTTGCGCCCAATGTTCTGAGTTGGACATTTCGATTGCTTTTGGCGAATCATCATGATGCAAGGAGAACTTCCCTCATAGGGACAGGAAGGCCTCTTCTGGATGGTCCTCCTCCTCGGCTGCTTCTCACTGGTCCATTTACCTTATCTCAACAACCCCCTTCTCCTCAGCAACAGTAGAAAATGGGATAGAAAAGTGTTTACTACTACTACAAAGCATCACTTGAATTTTCTACTCGTGCATGTTTGTTTGTTTTTTTTTTGGTAATGGCCTTTTATCAAATTTTAGTGGAAAATAAAGTAGACTAAACTAAATTGTATTCTCCTTTAAATGGATAATAAGGGTGCACTTGGTCACTTTGAAGCAGAAGGTCCATTTGAACATGAATGTTATATGGCAGGAGGGAGAAGTAGCTGCAAAATAACAGGTATGAGAGTTGAGATTTCATAGCAGCTAGCTCCCCAGTAGCCAAGCTAGGAGGCCCAAGTCAAGCCATATCTGTCCCTTGATCATATGAAAGTATAGATTAGGATGGAAGTTAGCAAAATTAATTAGAGGCCCTTTGGCAAAGGGAAAAATAAAGCGGTTTCATTTTCTATATATTCAATTTTTAGAGAATGAGGATATATAGAAGTCTGTAGTAGTGTGTATATTATTTATATATTAAATATATAAATAAATTTTAACAATTTTTTTGTCTATGTAGTTGTAATATATAATATATGTGTTAAAATATGAATAAATGTTATATATTGATGGCAACTTGTTTTAAGTATAAATAGATATTATGCAAATAAAAGGTATTAGAATAAGTTTGCGTTATTGTTCTTTTATATTTTTGACAATTATGTATGTGAGAGTTTCTATAATTATATCTCAATTGATAGTGAGTTGTAAATTTTTTTTTTTATTTGGGAGGGCGGAATTACATTTTAAAGTAAAAAATGTCATCCAAGTAAAAGTTTCTTACTGCTATCGTGTTCCCATTGTTTATAAAATATGTTCACACCCTTATAATAGTTTTTCAAAAATTAAAGAAAACAATTTTAATCATGCTTCACTTCACTACAAACTTTGTAATTCTCTTCTCTACAAATTAAACCAACTGCAGGTCCACATCAATTAAATTTTGCCCTCAATTTTATGATCATCTAATTGCAAAAATACCAAAGAGCAAAAATTGAAGAAGAAGAAGAAGAAGAAGAAGAAGAAGAAGAATATTTAGGGTATGTTTGATTGGAAGGATTAAAGCATGGGATTGGGATTATTAATCCGTGGGCCCAATCATCCTATGTTTGTTTGGACATTTTGGTTTAGGATTATTAATCCAATGGATAATTAATCCAACAAATTTGTAGGATTATTAGTAATGGGGTAGGGGTGGGATAGCTAATACCACACTAATTTGATAGGATTATTAATACCTCACTATTAGTGTTGTGAATCAAACATGGCCTTAAAGCAATACAAGAGGAGTGGATGAGAAGAGGAACGGTTACTTCACATCACAAAACAAAAATTAATAGATAAAAATATGGATTGCATGGGTCCGGCGTTTTTCGTTGCATAATTAAGTAAGAAAATAAATGAATCCATTGCAAATAGTGATCACAAAACACTCATTATATATATATATATATATACACAATGCAGATAAATAAAATTTAAATAGTGACAATGAGACAATAGGAACAGAGTCGCAACGAATCAAATATCAGATCAAAAAGTTGATACAGTTACACAAAGCAAGGAATGAATAGATAGAAATGAATTTCACAAAGACTTACTTGCGCCCAGAAGATCCGCCCTGGGAGAAGGATATTGGAAGGTTGGGCAATCTGAAAGAGTGCCTTTGCCCAGGGCTTCGATGTGTTCTGGAGTTGGCAAAGAAAATGAAATAATTTCATATATATATATATAGTCATAATTAACCAAACATAAAAGAGTCGGAACTAAATATATAAAAAATATATATATATATAAAAAACTAAATATTTCAAAAAAATAATTTTTTTACTTCTGAACTCATCCTTCAATTAATAGTGTAAAGCAATACTCCAAAATCACCAAATAATTTCTCATCTTATAGAGTCACTAACCAAATTATATTGATTTAAATTTAAATTGATAAATTATTAATAATTATATGATTGAATTATATTGATTTAAAAAAATAAATTAAATGGCAAGTTTCAATTTTAAGACTATGTTGAAAATAAACATTATTTTTATTTATTTTGTATTTCATATGGTTACTGAAATCTATTAAGACTCTCATTTATTCACATCTATAAATAGTGGTAATTTCTAAAAGAATTTTAGATACAATTTTATATACAAAAGTAAAGTTGAGAGAAAGTTTCATCAAATTGAAGTTTCAAAGCCCCAAAAGAACTTTTATGGCTTGAACTTTCTATTTTAACCTAATTGTTCGTGACAAAATTCCATCAATCTCTATGACATTTAAAGCTTAAAGATTCAAATCAAAATTCGTTAATTTGATTGTCTGCTTCTATTAAATTGGAGATAATTCTACAATTAAATTTTAGAATAGAATTGTCAAACCTTCAAGCCATTCCCTTATAAAATTGTCATTTTCTCTGTGCTATGTGGAAATGATTTTGCCGTTCAATTAAAGAATAAATTGTTAAGCTCTCAAGTCAAGTTCCTTAGTTATTAGGGTGCTCTGGCCAAAAGTTTAAAATTATATTTTCTTTGGTCAAAGGTCCAAGCATAGAAATAATTTGTCAATAAGGACAAGCTGAAACAAAATGATCAAAATACTCATCTATATATAACAATCAAACCCTACATCTCTCTCTCTCTCTCTGCGATCTAAACCCTAGGTGTGCCGTTTCCACCACCGCCGCTATCCTTCGCCCCTGGTGCATGTTATTCGAATCAAAGCTGTCCAGATCATGACGATCACAATGAGATATATGCAAGGTAAAACCCTATATCGACAAACGAATATTAGATTTGAAAACCCTAGGTCGTAGCAGTCGACGAGATCAAATCGGCAGTGAGCTTTGCACACATCTCAAGCCCAATAAACACATCCCCAAACAGAGACGCAACGGCAGAAGAAGACGGTAAGAGAGTGCACGATCTTGCAGCAATAAATCTTGAGGAGTCTGTTCATTCTCTATTTCACACAACCAAACCCCCTCATTTCTCCCTCTGTCGATCTTGCATTTGATGTAGCCATAGCCACTGATACCTCAAGTAGTTCCCCATAAATTTTTGATGATCCAGTACTGGTTGTCACCGTCGAAGCCATCGCTGACAATCAAGACAGCGTTATCTATTTCGACTAGATCACTGAAGCAATCTCTATCGTAGTTTCCCTATGTATATATTTCTTAGATTTGACCTGTTTAGATCTGTTCAAATTTTTGTTGTTGTTATTGTTTTTGTAGATCTAAGTGTGTATGTGTGTTTTTGTTTTTTTTTTTTGTTTTGTTTGCTTGTTTGTATTTTTTTTTTATTATTATTATTTTGTAGTTGTAGTGTAGTTGCAGTTGTTGATGATGAGAAAACTGATTGTTGTTGTTCTTGTTATTGTTGTTGAAGATGATGATTGCAACAGATTAAAAAAAAACTATGGTGCAACAGATAAAAGAAAGATTTGTTCAAAATTTGAACAGATAATGGCTTGGTAGATATTATTTAAGAGAAAAAATTGAGTAGATAAAAAAAATTAAACAAATAAATAGAATTTAAAAAAAATTGACATAGATAATTGAACAGATAGACAAAAAAATTGAGTAAATAGATATAATTTTGAACGGATAGACAAAAAATTTGAATAGATAGAAAAAGAAAAAAAAAATTAAATAGATAAATATAAATTTGAATAGATAGTAAATGAAAAGTCAAACAAATAAAAAAAAGCCAAATGATAAAATTGGAAACAAATTGTTCTCTAAAACTTTTCACTAAGCTATTTCACAAGGGAAATTCTATTTCTACATATCATATTGTCTCTGTGCACATCTTTTCTCACTCCACTCACTTAGTAATTTGATTCTTAGACATTTATCTCAGTTCACCCCCTTCACATTTCAAATATACCCATTTAATAAAAAAATATGTGCACAAAACCGTAAAGAACAAGTGTAAATGCTAGAATAAAGGTTTAAATAAATAAATAAAAAATACAATATTAAACCACTCATTCAAAACACTCAAAGCTATAATATATATCTGAAACATATATATAAGAACGATACAATCAAAGACCCATTTGAATCAAGAGGGTTGTGTATAGGTGTAAAGTACCTCAAATACATATCTGTCAAGAAAGAATCGAACAGATGGGAATTACAGAGCAAAGAATGGAAGAACTATGAAATTTTTGTATTTTGGGTATGATTCTTGTTCCCAATCAATGAAATGTACCAACTCAGCCAGACCCATTACAGTTTTTCTCAGTAATCAAACAGAGATGTGTGAAAAATCAAAGCTTATGGATCCAATATGAAAGTAGAGACATCTGTACTCTCTCTCTCTCTCTCTCTCTCTCTCTCTCTCTCTCTACACTTTCTCTTACTAAACTCAAAGACTCTCTATGCTTGAGGAGGAAAGGCTTTTTTTAGGCTTAGAAAGACAGATCGAATTGAGAGGACAGTGGATGTGCACAGAGAGCTTTTACAAGAAAAAGATGTGCACAAAGATCTCTATTTTGGATGTTTAAGTATGTGGATGGATGTCTATTTTGATTATTTTATTTAAAGGTAAATTTTTAATAAAAATAAAGGTCATTAAGTGTGTGGACAGAGACAATGTGGTGTGTGGAAATAGAATTTTCCATTTCACAAAGTGTGTACCTTTCATCAACAAAAAATATTTCTTGGACCTAATGTCTTATACCCTTCTTAGATTGGATTTATCACCAATTAACCCTAGTTATTATGCTCATATTATTTAAATTAATAAATTTATATTTCATCACTCGAATTCTATCTTTATTTTACGTGCAATAAATTTATATGTAGAAAAATTATAACTTGAATTAAAAAAGAAAAAAATATAGTCACTGTAATTTCAATTGGCTCAATTTTGAGCATGAATTTATGACTTTGTCTCAATTTGATCAATTTGATTACAACTTGTTATCCCAGATAGGCAACCCAAGAGGGGGGTGAATTGGGTTATTAAAAATTTCACAATATTAAAAATAACACAATATTCAGAATTTTAATAAATAAAAAAACACAGAATAATAATTATCAATATAAAAGTAAAAGAGATAGAGAGAGAAAATCAAACACTGCGATTTATAGTGGTTCGGCACGCCAGGCCTACGTTCACTCCCCAAGGAACCTCATTGAGGATTTTTTTACTATCAATTGAATAAATAC